TTTCAATCACGTTGAATGAATGAGATTCTTTCTTTTACAATTCAACTCTAGAATCTAATAAAAAGAAAATTCAGGAAACAAAAATTTAAATGAAGGCTGATGGAAAATTATGAATATCAGGATCCAGGTCATCAAGTTTTGACGAGACTAATTGGGGAGACTCGTGCTAAGGTATCTGTTTGGGGTTATGGAGCATTATATTTTATATTTCTTTATTTAATTGTTTTACATTGTCATTATTTTGTAGGAAACAATTAGAAAGTTCCTCTTCAATGGAGTTGACGAGCTTGGAAGCAAAACATTTCTCGACTACTTTCCAGAGTATGAGTGTGAGGATGGAACTATAAATCGGAAGCGCAGTGTGATTGGAAAATCATTCGAAAGTCGACCCTGGGATAGTAGAGGAGAATTTATTGGTGACAATTATGGATAGATAGCCTGCATTTTTTATCCTCTTCTCCTTGTATTCAAATCACCATCCTTCGTGCTGTCACCATTGTCCTATTTTGTCTACTATCTAATATGTAAATCGTATCGTCTGCACCAAACTCATTTCTTCCTATAAATCAAGGTCGCCATTACACAAAAGCAAATGCAGAAATCTCGTGAAAGTTAGTTCGAGAGAAAGATTATGTGATATTCTCATTAGATATTCGAGTTCAGTTTCTCATCCCTCTAACCATGAAATTGCTAGAAGTTCAGCATGTCTTGCAAAAATATGGACCCTGCTTGTGATTGATTGAACGTGTTGATGGGTAGAGCTTCCTCTTTGTTAAAGAATAAAGATATTGAAAGATTGTCGTAAATAGTTTGAGATATTTTCCTCGTACTTTGATTATCATTATCAGTAATTTGGTTGCTTAATCAACGTAGAACCTTTACTCTTTTAGTTATGAGTAATGTTATTCATCCCCACTGGGGATGAAAATATAGTTTGCGTGGCGTTAATGTGGCATTAAATGATAGGTGAAATTAAATAAGTCATTTAATTTCATAATTCATTTAACTTTTCATTTAAAACCACATAAAGTGTGTTTTCATCCCCACTGAGGATGAATAACACCACTCTTTAGTTATTTGTTACCTTGTGAATTTTCAGCATTTTTCTGTTTCAAAGTTTTGGACATTATAGCTATCCAAGTTATTGATTCCCTTTTTTTTTTCTTTTTTTTTTGATTGCAATGCAAGATTTTTATGGCATGGAATTTAATTCCTTTTTTGATAGTTTTTAATTCCCATTAGGCTACAAGAATCAGGCGGTCCCATTCTTTTTCTAAACAGATACAGATACCATTTCTTTAGGTTCTAATGAGTCCAACATCATTAAGTGGTTTATAATAATGGCGCTTTTGGTAGAAATGATTCGATAGAAGAGAGTTGTGTACATTTTTGTGGACCAAACATGCTACGACATAACCAAGAAACCTCTAATTTCTGAACCAACGAGGCAGTAGGTTACAGTGAATAGAATGCAATTAATAATAAGCTGGTAGAAATGAGCAAATTCGAAGTCCTCAAGGGCATTTTGGTCCACCTCTCTTGGTTTTCCAGTTATTGTAGCAAGGGCAAACTTGCTTGTTGCCATATGTCCCAGGAGGTACACACAGACACTTAGCACAGCATTTTTGACAGAAAAACATGCATGGCTTCTTGAATGAAGTTTTTGAGCATCTACCAGTGCATCTAGGTGCACATTCTGCATAAAAGACGGAGCTTCATTTAGAATATGGGTAAAATTTACTGCAGTCGACCGTATATAGAATTTCAGCTAGATCTTTGAACTTTTTTTTTCTTTTTTCTTTTTTTGTCATAAGTGGTCCAAAGTTAGCCATTTAGAACTTCATTGGAGCCTGAGACTGTGTCCTAATGACACATTGACATTGTACTAATAGTTTGCTCAACTTGGTTGAGCTTGATTCTTTAAGGTTTGTTTAATGTCTAGTTGAATAGAGTACTATGTATTAAATATGCCCTTGATTTCAGCAACGTTGATAATATTATGAACAGTAACCCACCTCGAGGCTGAAGGCTCCCCTGAGTAGCACCATACTGCTGTCAAAACAGTGAAAGTAATATTAGCCAAAGGAGAAGGGAAATTATTTGTAGTCGACCTCAATTATTTAATTTCTACCAAAAAGGGGCTTAAAAACAGAACATAGTTTGTTGCTGAACTAAAGAAAGGCAAAAAAGTGTATTTTTATAAGTAGCATCTTGTCTTACCATTTGGCTGTTTCCCTGTGGTTCAAGCTGAGAAGCTGGTAACAAGGTGCTAGAAGCCTACAAAATTTGATTCAAGGTATGTAATATATGAGATAAGATACTGAAGTCATTTTTGGCACACTGCACTAGACAAGATCAAGGAGTATCATAAAGTAGTACATAAATATGTTTTTATCCTGTCTAGTCGACAATGTAGTTACTTATGGCGTGTGAGCACTTTTTCTGGAGTTGGCTAGTTAATTTGTCAATTACCTTATTGTGGGCTAGAACAGCGACCATGAAGAATATTAGACAGGACAAGAAGGTTAGTTTCTTTGCCATTGCTTGGAAAGTATACAAGCCTTGAAAGAGAGAGAGTGAGAGATCAGAGTGTGAATTTGTGAAGAAAAGCAGCAGCATTTATAGAGAGGGCTGCGTGTTTTTTAATGCTCAATTGGGTAGGACACAACAGTATCAGAATGAGACATAAAGTAACATTTGCTTTTGGATATGACACCCATGCCCTTATCCCAAGTCCTTAGGCCTTTCTGACACACGTTATGTTACATACCAAAAATATAATTTGTTAGTTTTAAGTTTTTAGATGAGTTAATTCAATTAGAAGTATAAATTAAGATGTCTTATGCATGCCACTAGCCCCTATAGCCCATGCTCGGTAGTCTGACACGTTTTATCACATTTAAATTCAATATAGCTCCTTCCAAAAAAGCGATAAAGACAATTTTTTTTGTAGCTACTAGAGCCTTTTTCAATATATAAACCGTTAAAAGACGGAAGTAGAGCTAAGCATCAAACCAAACCCTTTCTATAGCAGTAATAGACTTTGAATACAAGTCTCATAGTTTCCTAATTATACAAATTGTGTAATGTTACTCTGACGAAAAAATAAATGTGGTCTATAAGGGAGAGTGTGTAAAAGATGTGTAATCTAATAAAATAAGATCGTCCTTTCTCGAACAATTTAAATTTTAAATGTGATGTTTCCAAAGGTAGTAATCTCTCTTGCTGCCAAAATTAGCACAAAAGCTCATGTTTAGGGCTAGAAAGAATTCATAAGAAATTAGATTCAATATTCTTTTTTTTTCTTATGCTTAGTAGAATTAAAAGGGATGACAAGAAGACATTCTTATGCTTTCTTGGCGAGGACAATATTGAAATACGGAGAGACTTATAGTTGGTTCCAAATTTTAAAGACGAGTTGAATGTCAATTTTGACATTGTATTTACACAATTTAAGTTTATTCACAAGAACACGAAGATAAAATGGTACCGCATTAGCAATTTATGCAGGATTTGTAATTGCTTTGTTATAATCCATGTGCAATGAAAAACATGAAGGCGATGGGAAGGCGATCAACATGTGCAATCACATGCCTCTTTTGAATATGTGGTCACCTTTCAAGTACCCACCTCCACTCGACCTTCAATACAATTTTAATGATGATGAATTGATTAAACATGGTATTTTGAACGGACAAAATATCTGAATTTAAGTCTCTGGTTATCTATTTATAAAAATTTTGCACACATCATGTGTTTGATGAAAAATATAAATCTGACTTGTAATGGAGATGAGTCGTGTTGAAAACATAATTTAAATAAATAAATTTGTTCTTGTGTTTGATGGTAAAACTTTTAGATTAATTGATTTGAGCACCTACCAATAGGCAAAAGAGTAACTAAATGCAAGGAGGAGAGGTGTATGAATGTGCAACAGCCAAATTTTCCACCATCCCAAATAGGCCTTTTAGAGAAATTATTTGCTAATTGAGGCTAGATTTGATGATAGAGTTGGACCTTTTTCTGCTTTTTGTCCTTGTGGTGGGAGTTGAGTAGGGCCTTCTTATCAAGCCATTTTCTTCTCCCCACTACTAGTTGATACTCATGCTCGCACGTGGCTTGTTGTTGTAAATGTGCACGTTACGTATGTAAGATGTTTGTCAATTATTCTATCATTGATGTCTTTCAAGACTATGCTAAATTGGTTGAACAATAGAAGAAAACTTCGACATATTCGTAAGAAAGAATTAGTTACACCTATGCGACAGGCCACATGGCTGTCAGTTAAGCAAAATGCAATGCAAATACCTATTCTCTGAGGTGACGGGGCCACCTACCATGGCCACGGCCTCCTTTTATTCTGTGACATTGACAACGTATCCAACACTTCTTCAAAAACTACATTCGAGACGACGTAACTCCATGTAGACTTGTCACCTACCTTATTTGAGGCCGTCACCATGTACCCAATCTTTAGCCATATAAACGGACCTTTGGAGTCTAAGGTGGTTAGAGTATGAAGCTCGATGTCTTAAGCTAGCTGAAGCTTTACACTTTGAGTCACGTGTGATTGATGTGACATTTCTACAAGAGCGGTTGAAGGTCAAATCCATCATTTTTTGCTTTGGACAATGTGTAGGGATTGTAGACTTATTTTGTCTAGAATGCGACGTGATGACACGATTGAGTTTAGCAAATAAGCCACTGGGATGAGATCACATGTAACACATTCAAAGAGCATCGGTGCATTTCTTTGCCTATAAATACTTACACTTGATGATATTATAATGGCAATTAATACAAATGGTATTCTTACTCTACAAATATAAGCCTCGACTCTTGCTTTTCTTTTTCGTCCATATCACTCACATTCAATATATTTTATCGTCCATTTCGTTTAAATTATTTCATATTTAGTTGACTTATTCAATATATTTGTCTTAAATTGAGTAACAAATCAACATTGGAATAATTTAATGTACAATATTTTATTGTATGTCAGTCATTAGAATAATATTAAACTTGAAATTTCGAACGTCCAATATTTTCATAAAGATTAATTTTATCTAGCACACTAACCTAGGTGCCTACAGTTGATAAGTTCAATTATAAGAATCATTTGACTTTACATTTAGATCAATCTATCATTTAGTGTCGTTTATTTATCACCTTGTGCTTGTGGGGATGAATAACATTACTTTTTTATAACTGAAGAATTTAGCAAAACTTTGGTCCTGAAATATGACTTCATATAACAATATAAAAATGACAAACTAATGAAACTATGTCGTGTTTACAATTAATTATGAATGACTTGAGCCTTGAAGCGTATGATCATGACCTCCCAACATTTGTTTGGAGAGGCTCCGATCTTGCGCTTTAAGGTGTGTGTTCCAAGTGCAAAGGTAACCTACATGAGAAGGATAGCGGACATTGGATCCGTTGGCGCATTAGGTCTCATCTAGATTAGAGCTCAACATGATTTCTTTTTTTAAAAAGGGCTTATTTTCTTGTAAAGGGACCCTTAAAGAAATTACTACTTTAAGGTAACATTTACAAAGTTCTGGAGGTTTCTTGGAGCATAGTGTGGAATGTCTTTTGACTTGGTTGGTTCTTAGAGCATAGTAGAATACTAGAAGTGGAAATTACACGGAACCATACTATTAAAATTCCCAATTCTAAAATTAGGTGGGAATGTTTACTTTTCACAAATCAGATGTTTCATATTTAAATTATAAATATTAGATGTACAATTTCCATCATAAAACCCTAATCAATTTCCTCTCACCTCTCTCTCTCTCTCTCAATCTCTCGCTTCTCACATCTCTTTCTCTCTCTTTATACCACTGTAACGCCGATGTAGTCCACCACTGCTATTGGCGATGCAATACTCCTCAGTGGTGGTGGTGGTTTGTGGTGTGATTTGGGTGGCAGCGGCGGCAGCGGCGATTTGTGGTGGTAAATCTGCAGCGCGGCGATGTGAAGCGATGATGGCGGTTCGCTGCGACGGCTCTCTGTAAGCTAGCCACGAAGCTGAGATCTGAGCTAATGTCGTTTCTACAGCGACGATAGATGTGCTCCACTACCCACCGGCAATTGCTAGAATCGTTTGGCCTGTGTGATCTGAGCGGCGGTCCTTTTTAACGCCATGGCTGCAGCGGCGCATCATCACCGCTGCAGCAACGGCCGATTTATGGCGCGATGGTTTGGGCGATCTAGTTTTTGGTGGTTTTTGGGCGGTGATGGTGGTGGGCGTGTATATCGTTGCTGGTGGTGGTAGTGGAAAATGAGGTGAAAATCTGGAGTGATGGGTTGGGGTAGTTGGTGGTGCTGACGGTGGATCTGTCGGTGGGTGCGGTTGTGGTGTTGTAGATACGATGGTGGTGTCCCAATCTGTGTTGTGGCGATGACTGTAATAATATTTGTTTTTGCGATGGGTTAATTTGTTTCAAATGGTGGATGCAGTGGAGGTAGTGGTAGCGGTTTGACTGTGAGGTGGTGCGTCTCGCTGAGGACGTGTTTTTTTTTTTTATGGTGGTGGTGCGGTGCAGTGCAGGTGATAGTCTGGTGGTTGCAGTGCGGACGACAGTTGTTTGAACCAGTGGTGTGATTCGTGACCAACTGTGACCGCATAATAGACTATCTGTGACCTTAAAATCCTACAATTTGTGACTAAAAATTAATCTGTGATCTTAAAATTCGACAATTTGTGACTAAAATTTAATTTGTGACCTATAATTTTTTGATTTGTGATCAATAAAATAATCTGTAACCTTTAAAATTATTGATTTATGATCATGAAATAATCCGTGACCTCTAAAAATTTTGATCTGTGATCGATATACAAATTGTGACCTATAAAAGTTTTGAACTGTGACCTCAAAAATAATATGTGACAAATTAATTATGTACATGTGACCATTAATTGTATAATTATGACATCATTATATTTAATTAATAAATAAATTAATTAATTAAGTCATAATAAATTTTAATAAAAATCTGATTTTTGAAATTTCAAACTTGTTTTCTTAGTTTTGAAATAGGTGATAGTTATCCTCTTACTTATGAATTTTTCCCTTAATTGAGAAATTATAAAAAATCAGGTGTTTAAAGATTGGTTTTTAAAAATCATTTCTATAATTTATTTATTCAAAAATCAGATACTATATTAAACCCTAATTCATAACCTACTTTATCTCTCATCCCTTCCCCTATCTCTCTTTCTCTCGCGTCTCCATCATCTTCCATTCTCCCTCCTCCTTCCCCTACCTCTCTCTCCCTCGCCTCTCTCTGCGTTCGGCATCGTCGCGATGACGCTACTCAGTTCGCGGCAACTTCGCGACGCTGCCGTTCACGTTCCAGCGTCGCGACGTCGTTCTCACAGCAGAGTCAGAGTCGCTGCACGGTGTTCAGTCACAGTTGTGGTGTGTGTGTGTGTGTGTGTGTGGATGTGGGTGGTGTTGGTGTGGTTGTGGACTGACGGTGTGGTGATGGTGGTGCGGTGGATCTATGTAGGACAACGATGGTGGTTGTTGGCAGTGGTGATTTGGGTGGTGTTGGTGAGGTTGTGTGGTGATGGTGGTGCGATGGATCTAGGTAGTAGATGTTGCGGTAGTGATGGTAATGGCGTGCTCGTGTTGGCAATGGTGGCTCTGGATTGTGCTGGGGGGTACTCTGGGTGGTTACGGTTGTTAATGGCAGTGGTGGCCACTGCGGGGACGGTGAGGTGGTGGTGAGCCATTAAATAGTTAATATGTGAGTGGTTGGTCGTGAAAGTTGTTGTTCGTAAATTGGATCTAGGAGTTTGGGAACTTTTTTCAGCTCGATGACGTGAGATGGTGCGTGTCGTGGGTGCGGTGGTGGTGGTGGTGGTATTTACTTGATGTGGTGTGTGTTGGGTTGACAATGGTGGTGGCAGTCGACGGTGGTGCAGGTGGAGGATCTGGTGATTTTGATTTTCTAT